AAGCAGTTATGAAAAGAATAGTGAGAACTAGTAATTGAACTTAGTTAATACTCACTAAGAACAGAATAATCAATTGAGGCTTTTAGCTCCTGGGAAGTGATATCATGGTGATAATAATATTAATTGCGGGGCCGGCCCCGTGGCTTAGCGGTTAAGTGCGTGCGCTCCGCTACTGGCGGCCCGGGTTCGGATCCTGGCCGTGCACCGATGCACTGCTTGTCTGGCCATGCTGAGGCCGTGTCCCACATACAGCAACTAGAAGGATGTGCAACTGTGACATACACCTATCTACTGGGGCTTTGGGGAGAAAAAGGAGGACTGGCAATAGATGTTAGCTCAGGGCCAGTCTTCCTCAGCAAAAAGAGGAGGATTGGCATGGATGTTAGCTCAGGGCTGATCTTCCTCACACAAAAAAAATGTATATTAATTGCTATGTTTATTGAATGCTAACTGTGCACCAAACTCTGTACTAATTTCTTTACATATATTATCCCATTTAATCTTTACAATACTTTGAGGTTGTGAATATTATCTCCATTTTTTTGGTGGAAAGATTTTGAAGCCTTAGAGGGAATAAGCCACTTGCCTAAAGTCACAGCTGTAAGTATGGATTCAAGCCAGAATTCAGACCCAGGCCTTGCTGATTGTAAAGCTCAGATTCTTAATCATTTTAATATATTACCTTCTGTGGAATGAAACAAAGACTGATCAAACCTTGAAACCCTTTGTTCCAGATCTAAAATGTTTTCCTGACACCCTCAGTCAAATATACCCTGATTTTTGTTATCCTGTAATAAGTTCGTGCGTCAGTCTTATCTTCCTAATTTTCACTATCAGACTGGAAAGTTAACCTTTTCCAGGTCTAACTATATGATTGGTACTCATGTCATTTAGTCAGATTTGATCACCAGCCTGAACTTTCTTAAAAACAATTTTAAAGTGGAAATAATCCTTAGATTTGAAGTAGAAAAAGTCTAGCATCTTAGTTTGGTAATCTATAATCTCATGGTCCCAAACTCTAATGGATTGTTTTGGCCCTTGCTGAGGGCACTGAACTATGTTGCCTCCATTCCAAATTCTGGGCCTTCTTCCTCAGCCAAAAGACAAACGTATGTGTTCACAGTGAAGATGCATCTTATATTTAAAGATAAGAAAATTTAGGCTCCAGGCAATTTGACCTGGGGCTCTCTGATGTCCTCTGCCAATTGTAGAAACATAAGATTTCACATTCAAACTGTGAAGTGTATATGTCATGCTCACTAGGTGGGTTTGCAGTAGAGAACTTTGCCTGTAATCATTTTTCCTTTTATGGGCATAACAGTGTTCTGAGACTCCTGGTAGTAGCAACAGTGGCATAGTTAGATTTCAAAAGCCAAATTCTGTCAGGTTGAAAATCATAGATGTGTTCATCCCAGTGGCTTGAGATTACTATGCATTACTTGAATTGTACAGTTCAGAAACTAGAAAGCCTATCAAGAAAATTATCATTCTGAGATACTTGTATAAGGGCAGGATTTACTCTGAGGGATAGACATAGTCTCTTGAAAGATAATTTTATGAAAGAGAATAAGGTTGAAGTTTACATTTGTTGGAATATATTAACCATGAAAGTCTTTAACATATCAAGACCACTAGCAGATACTGATTTCTTTTTCCTTTTACTATTTTTCTAATCTTATTTTGGCTTTTGTTCATAATACATGTTTTCCCCTCTTCCTGGCTTCCTGGCTTCCGTAAATCATTTCATCTAGATATATATAGACCATCTGTCCTCCAAAAAGGCTATTCCTTCTCTCAACAAGGGGCAAGTGAGAACAAGAGGCACAGTGTGGATAAAAAGCCAAGAAAAATCTTGGCGGACAGTTTTTTGGCTCCTCTTCTCTGGCTCCTCTTTGCCTGCCCTGCAGCCCCCTGGGGAACAAAAGGGAGGCAACAGCTTGTATCCATTTGAGAAAGTGGCAATGGCTTGCAGAAGAGAAAATGCTAGGCTGTTCAGCTCTCTTCCTAGATACAGAAAAACAATGCAGATGGTGGGTGGTATGCCGGAATGCACACATTCTGAGCCATAGGACCAAATAGAATGGAATTTCTTAATTGTCATGGAAGTGGAACGTAAGAGGCTTTATCAACATTTGGCTAAGTAAAACACAAGCCAGTCATTTGAATTGCTTCCAAATATACAATTAGAAGCTTTCTACATTGTGGTAATTTTGTAATAACCTATGTCTTTCCCCAAAGACCCTCTCATGACCTTGGGGATTATATTCATACAGTGCTCCAGGAAGGCACCCACAGGATTGTGTAGGCTTAAGATACACACTTCATCCCTAGATCCACATGATGTCTAACTATTGCCCTTGAAAATTTAGCCCTAATGCAAGTCCTTGAGAAACTACCCTGGAAGCTCCCTAGGCTTAGCGCAATAGGTCTTCAGTTAATAAATGTTGAATGACTAGCACATTAGTTTGGGTCAGTATTCATTAGCAGTTTTGTGTGTAAAGAGAAACAGCTCTCCCCCACCTCCTCCAGCCATGATTAAGACTTGAGAAACAAGGCAGTCTTCCTCAGAAGAACCTAAAAACCTAAAAGGAGAGGTGTTGCCCAAAATCAAATTACAGAGGAGGTAGTAAACTTTGAAGTGGGCCATACTACATGACGCTGATTTTTATAGTTTTTAAGCCCTTTCAGGTTCAAATCACATCAAAATAATAACAATAATAATAGAAAAAAGTCTAGGTTTTCAGAGAACATTAGTAAAAATGCTAATTTGAGCATTGGGATTGTTACTTGGGGATCTCCACTGGAAACTGTCTTTACTATCTTTGAAACATAAGAGAGGTGAGGCTTTATGCCCCTATGGAGAACAGACGAATACAGGCCTTTCATAAGCCTTGAGCACACTGCTGCTGCTGCCAACATTATGAACAAGAAACATTTCAGCCTTGAGTCTATCTTGTGGGATAAAGCTTAAAACTCATCTAATTCAAATATATCAGATTTCTCCACAGCTATGAAATCTCCCAGATAAGGCTAAAATGAGCACCCCAAGTTATTAAAGCGTAGCCTGGAGAGCAGGGACCACAGCTTTGTTTCATAGATGAACCACCATACATCTCCAGCTTTTGCCTGGGAATCACATTTCACTGAAAACCTGATTTAAACCTTGCATAAACTATCCCCATTTTGCAAAAAATTTATCAGTCCCTCCATTTGGTTTCAGGATGGTAAATTGAACCATAAATCAAACTTAAATTAAATCCTGAAAACTTTCGGTGTTGTCAAAAATTAATCAACTCCGTAGAAGTGATGGTGTGACAAACATGAAATATTGAGTGGTTTGAGTTATAAGAGAGACCTTCACTTAAAATTGATGATGTTGATTTTTTGGGAAATAGTTTTGCTTGTCACTTAAGTATGACTAAGCCCAGTGGCTAAGTTTATCCAAAACAACATGTGCTGTCCTGTAGGATGAATATGTACTACTGCTTAGAAGGACAAAACAGTGTGATATTGAGATATAGTCTTTGGATCCAGATAGAGCTGAGTTTGAATCCTAGCTCTGCCACATGTAACTTCATGTTGCCTCAGTTTTTTCATCTGTAAAGTGGAGTTGTTAATGTCTACTCTATAGGCTTGTTACAGTGATTAAATGAAAAACTATATGGATGAAGTACCTTGACCCATAGTACATGTTCAGTAAATGGTTGCTATTGTAAAAATGTAGTTCTTGTGTCTTGCTCACTGATACAGTCCCACCAGTGAGGAAATAAATTAAGGTATATATCAACTTACCAAGCTAACTGGAGAAATGAGAATTGAAAGAGGCTTTTGCTCTTGACTGCATACTTCCTTATTTTGTGTCTCATGTCAGTCTTATCTCCCTCCTAAATGGTGAAGTCCCTAAGGACAGAAACTGAGTATTCTCCTTCTTTCATGTACCCTACAATGACTAACACAGTGCTAGACAACTAGTAGACATTCAGGAAGTGTTTAGATGTCACCTTACTTAGCAATGTCTTATGTCTACATATACCCCTCTTATGAGAACAGGATTATGCCCTGCCACATAGGAATCTGAAAGTTTCCTGGTAACTGTTATTTTCCAATAAAACCATGGGGAAATTTTACCATCTTCAAATCATTTTACTTTCTAATTGGTTTCTGGGCCCATCTTTAGCCATTTTATTATTTATGCATTTATAAGTATCATTAACACTGCAGCTGGTACTAAGATAACTTTCTTGTCTCTATTTTAAATGAAAATCTTAGTTTTCTGATATTACTTGGATTAGCTAGAGGTCCTTTATACTTAACCTTTCCATCTACATATTTAAATATGTTTAGTGATTTTTCAGTAGCTTTGGTAAGTAAGCATATCTAATTAAGGCATCCTACAATATACATGTTTTTTTCAGGCTCTATTGATGTGCTTGCATTTGATTACCATTTTGGGGGAAACTTGAAAATGCATTGCTCTTCTTTGAAATCCTTAGAGGTCTGAGTGTATAAGAAGATTAAGTACAGACTGAGGGAGTGATGTGGCTTCACATATGTATAATTGATCAAATTTACAATAATTAGTTTTTAAGTGTTCTTTGAGTAGCAGGGACATGGATGATCCAGAGAACACTTATTACTAATAATATTACTTATGAATTTGAATGGAATTTTAACATTGTTTTTATCCCCATAAGGATGCTCCTGATCTGTAAGGTATGTGGGATGTTATAGCAGCTCTATTTTATCCATGAGGAAATTGAGGCCCGGAGTAGTTGGGTGACTTTCCTGAAGTCATAAGTATTAGTGGCAGAACTGGAGTAAGAACCCAGCAGATCTTCTGTTTCTGATTAATTTTTTCAAATCTTGGAGAGAATTGTAGTTCAAAAATATAGTCCCCTCCATCAACTGTTTTCTGCCATTCAACACAGTTGATCATTCCATATTCCATGTCAAAGTACCTTCCATTTGACCCCAAGAACGTCTTTCTGTTTCCCTCTCAGTTTGAACGCCACGACCCTGTGGATGGGAAAATTACTGAGAGGCAGTTTGGTGGCATGCTGCTGGCCTACAGTGGGGTGCAGTCCAAGAAGCTGACTGCCATGCAGAAGCAGCTCAAGAAGCACTTCAAAGAGGGAAAGGTAGGTGTCTTTGCCTAGAGGAAGAAAAGGAACCGGGGGAAATACAATTATTGCAAAGGTACTAACAGAATGAGAGTGTGTCATGAATCAAAGATTATGACTAATTCATCTCTGATACCTGAAAAAAAAGACCAGTGGATGAGGAAGAGGGCAGAGCCCAGAATGACCCTAGGTTTCTAGTTCAGACCAAGGATGGCACTGTGAACTGAGACTGAGAATTTAAAAAGAGAAGGTAGGGCCGGCCCCGTGGCTTAGTGGTTACGTGCATGCGCTCCGCTGCTGGCGGCCGGGGTTCGGATCCCGGGCGCGCACCGACGCACCGCTTCTCCAGCCATGCTGAGGTCGTGTCCCACGTACAGCAACTAGAAGGATGTGCAGCTATGACGTACAACTATCTACTGGGGCTTTGGGGAGAAAAATAAATAAATAAAATTATAAAAAGAGAAGGTGGTTTACAGGGGAAGATAAAGAGTTCAGTTGTAGATATGTGTTTAAGATGCCTGTGGACTATCCAAATAGAGATGATTAGCAAGGCAGTTGGATATGCAGATCTGCTTTAGAGGACTGCCGTAGATTTGGGAGTCATCAACACACTGTTAGAGTTAAAACCATGAAAACAGATGAGATTGCCCAAGGAGAGTATTATACAGAAAAGAACTGTGGGCCCAGGACAAAATCAAGTGGAACCCTGTTTTGAGAGGTTCGGTGAATTCGATAAGAAACGTAAAAGAAACTTTCCAACCCAAATGAATGGACTGAATGTATATTTTATTATAGAGGAGAGTAAAGGCAATAGTCTGCAAACAGATCCGAATAGGTCGAATAACAAGAGGGAAATGACACAAACCGATCAGAAAGGGAAACACCAGATCGACCTAGATAGAAGCAGATCCGAATAGGTCAAATAACAAGAGGGAAAAACATCAGCTCGATCGAAAAGGGAAACACCAGATCGACCGAAGGGAAATAACACAAATCAACCGGAAAGAGAAACACCAGGTCGACCCAGAGAGAAACATCAGATCGGTTACTCACAACATCCATGCCCTTGCGCCCGGGAGAGTCCCTTCAATTGACACGACTAGGCAGGAGTCCGATCGTCAGAGGTCCTGGGCAAGGCGTGCCTTCCACAGGTGAGACTCTCACCAGGCCTCAGTTTCCAGCAGTTTATATAGCATCAGTAATCTCCAGAGTAAGCATTTGCAGAGTTTGCAGAGTAAGCGTTTGGTGTTCCCATGCACCAATGGTTATCAGTTGCGTATGTGCACTGAGCCCCCTGGCTGTCCTCCCAGCCCGGCAGTTGTGTACACGCATTGTGCCCCCTGGCTAGCGTCCCAGCCCGGCACAAATGGCCAGTCCGTCCTGAGCTACGACGCCCAAAGAGCCTTGTAGTCTTACAAATTGCAACTATCTCTGTGGGAGAAGGACCGGTTCCCACCACACAGAAAGCAGCTTTATATTTCTTTGTGTGCTGGTCGCTGTAGGTCCATGGAACGGCCAAACATGGCTGTACTCATGACAAGACAAACCCTAACATTTAAGCAGCTCAGGAAAGAAATCTTGAGGAGAAAGTAGTGAAATCAAAGGCAAGGAAGTAGAGGGTTCAGGAACTGAGGGATCTACAGGGTCGCATGGGACAGAGAGAGTTCGGTAAAATAAGATGATAAACATCCATTGGTTTTGGTAAAATGGTAATAATTGGTGACCTTTGGGAGAGCTGTTTTATTAGAGTAGTCGGGTTTGGAGGGCATATTAAAATAAGAAGGAAGGAAGTAGAGAAAGAGAAGAGAGGAAGAAAAGGAGGAAGAAGAGGCTCCAGAAAGAAGGAAATAGCTTATGTTAAAAACTCTGAGGCGTATATTAGTCTGCTTGGGCTGCTATAACGAAATATCAGAGACAGGTGGCTTAAACAGCAGAAATTTATTTTCTCACAGTTCTGGAGGCCAGAAGTCCATGATCAAGGTGCCAGCAAATTTAGACTTCTAATCAGGGCTCTCTTCCTGGCCTGTGGACAGCCACCTTCTTCCTATGTCCTCACATGGCCTTTCCTTGGTGTTTGCATGCTGAGAAAGAGAGCTCGAGCTCTCTGATGTGTCTTCTTATAAGGACACTAATCCTGTTGGATCAGGGTCCCACCCTTATGACCTCATTTAACCTTAATTATTTACTTAGAGGCCCCATCTCCTAATACAGCCACACTGGGGGTTAAGGCTTCAGTGTATAAGTTTTGAGGAGATACAGTCAGTCAGTCCATAACAGCCAGGAAGGACAAATCTGGCATGTGTGAGGAACTGAAAGGGGACTATTGTAGTTGGAGCATGCTAGCAAGGAGAAGAATGGCCTGAGGTGAGGTCTGAGATGACTCCGCTTTATGAAAAATAGTTTGGAAAGGAGCAAGCATAGAAGCAAAAAGACTGATATTAAGATTATTAGAGATTTCAGGAGGAGATAATTGAGCTTTTTTTGAGAGCACTGAGATTGGAGAGCACCATGGATTTGTGGTGGTACTAGTTGACATTGCTCTCTGATACCTGTCAACACCAGTTGCACAAAGAGGCATATGGTAGAACTGAGTCAGCATTGGGGATTTTGCCAAACTGAAGCAGAAACTAGTTAAGAGGTCACACCTCTTAAGGATCACTTACATATGCACACACAAACACAGCAATGCTAGGGCTAGAACCCAGGTCTTCTCATACTCAGCCCAATACCCTGTCAACCTGACAATGATTACCATTTGGCCATGACCGGGAAATTGACCTGGCACTAAAAATGATCCGTGAGAGATTGCCAAGGTAGCGTGGTATAGTAGACATGGAGCTAGAAGACTTGAGTTCAGGTTCTGCTTCAGAGATTTACATGGACAAATCACTTAACCTTATTCGCCTCATGAATCGAGAGGCTTGTCCTAAATGTGCGCTAGCTTTAAAACTCAATAACCAAAAACGAGTAATAGGATTGCTAGTGCTTGTCTCAGTTTTCTTAGTTATTAGTCTTTGTGCAGGAAATCTTGCATGAACAGCATTTCCCCAAGTTGGTGGAAAGCAATTCTTATCAGCTAGGCTTTTTCCTCCTTGTCTTGGATGTTGAAAAGCTGAAAGGACCTCTGAACCAGGCTGTGGACTGCAACTGAGGGCAGGCTGGGCTCTGAGAGAAGTGTCAGCTTCTCTGAGCTCAGTCCAGCCTGTCCCAAGGTGTTCTCTTGGCTATGGGGAAAGACTCATCATTAATGGAAAGTGACAAGAGGACAATACTTCTCTCTTAGAGAGAACTTCTACACTACCTAGTACCCAGCTCATATCTGTTGGAAATTGTAATTTTTGAAAATTGATTGCAAATATTTAGGTGGATTTTTTAGCCTCTATGCTGGAAGTATAGTGTTTGTATTAGGAAGCATTCCTTTCTTTTGACCAAACTTCTTTTGTGTGTGAGGAAGATTAGCCCTGAGCTAACATCTATTGCCAATCTTCCTCTTTTTGCTGAGGAAGATTAGCCCTGGGCTAACATCCGTGCCCATCTTCCTCTAGTTTATATGAGATGCCACCACACCATGGCTTGACACGCAGTGCATTGGTCCGCACCCAGGATCTGAACCTGTGAACCCTGGGCCGCTGAAGCGGAGCACATAAACTTAACCGCTAAGCCACCAGGCCGGCCCCCCTTGACCACACTTATTTTTAAGTTTGGTCCAGACATTGATTTGACCTTAAAATAATTACCTCTCATGATAGGTTAATTCATGTTTTATTATGAACTTATATTTAAAAGCAATAAATTGGGTGTTGGAGACATCTCCCTTGAAGGAATAGAGTATTTTAGCTTTGGCAGGAGTTAATTTAGGACCTGATGACCTTGCAAAAGAGTTCTAAAGTGAAAGGACAAATTTTGTCAGATGATGAAAATCTGGGGTGTTAAATTAGTTCTGGCCCAGAATTTCTAGCCTGCTTTAGCAAGGAGATTGAGATTGATTGTCCTTTCATGTTGATTAAATAGTTTGTGAACATACAATTAACTAAAATGAGAGTTAATGAAGGGCCTTTGCTCCTAAGGTTACCGGTCCATCTCTCTAGGACCATTTCCCATTAATGGGGAATCACTATCTGCTTTCTAATTGCTTCTTTTATTCCACTTTGGATTTGTTAACATGAAAACAGTAAGTTTTCATTTGGCTCACGTTAATCATTTTCTGTGTTGGGTTCTGTACAAAACATCAAACCAGACCTAAAAGGTCCTAGTGGTGGTATTAAATAAATATTTACATATTAATGAACATGCAATGCTTCACAGCCATTTTTCTTTTTCTAATAGCCTTGTTAGATGTCATTTTGCCTTTGAGAACATAGTGACAGAGAGAAAGAGAAATTAATGATCCAACTAGACTCTAGACTAAAATCCAAGGCTGCCTATTCCAGGTCTTGTCCCTTCCATAGCAAAGTTCTGTTTCTTTTAACCATACTCTTCCTCTAAAGCAGTGCTTCTCAACCCTGGTCTCCCAGTAGGATCACTTGGGGAAATTTTAAGAAATGTGGTTGTTGGGGCCCTCTTCAAACCAATTAAATCAGAAGGTCAGTGGGTGGGTCCAGGCATTAGTAGTGCTTAAAAGGCTCCCCAGGTGATTCTAATGTGCAGTTAGGCTCATGAGCCACTGCTTTGGAGGGGCTGTGCTCCATCAGTGTCTCTCGCTGTTTTGTCCCTGAGTAATAGCTTGAAGAATTGGGGAACTTACCATGCCTGGAAAAATTACTTTATTCATGCTCTAACTGTCATGTTTCTTATTTAGCAAAGACAGAGTTTTCTTTTCTTTTTTTTTTTTTTTTTAAGGGGGACATGTTTTGTTTTGGCTTCATTTTAAAGATTAGTCCCTATTCTCTACCATGTTTTCCCCATTCCCTTTCAATATCCTTTTTCCTGTGAATTCTTTTTCTAGGGCAAACCTGACTCAGCTCTAAAATTTCCTTGCTTTTCATCCTCCTAATTGTCATCTTCTCCTCATTAAAAGA